CCGCCGTTCAGCAGGCCCGAGTACGACCCCGCGCGGCCGCTTCCGCTGCCGCCGCTGCCCATCGACGCCGCCTCACCTGCCGCCAGCGCCGCCGCCGCGGCGGCGACGTCAGTGGGTGAGCCCGAAAGCGCTGACGACATGGTGGCGGCAGCGGCGGCATCAGGCAGTACGCCGGCGGGCAAGATGGCAATGGTGACGATCTCGCCTCGACGACCTGAGGGTCGTGGACCGCGTACGACACCGCTGCTGGCGGACAGCTGTCCAACGCTTTTAAGCGGCGTCAGCCCCAACCTGGCGGGGTTGGGCAGCTGCGGCAGCCCGGCGCCGCGCAGGGCTGCGCCGTTGGCAGCAGTCGCGGCGGCGCCGCCGACGCCGCCTCCGACCCCTGCGGCCGCCGCCGCTGCGGCGGCGGCGCTGCTAGTCGCTGCCGCATTCGAACTACTGGCTCCTCGATCGCTTCGTACCCTGCATGGCATGAATGAGGTTTCGGCGGGAATGAAAAAGTCAAAGTGTTGAACGCACAGGAAGGATAACGGCCGCACGAGGTTTTGTTTTTGTTGTGTTAGATGCTAAGCTGGAAAGAAGGTAAAACAAGGAAAGCCTTGGAGAGGAAAGAGCGAATGCGGTGTATTGCGGTCCGCTTGTGGAGCAACGTGTGTTGAGACCGTCATCGCCCGGAGCGCCTCCCTCTCCCGCCTAGCCAGAATGGGTGAACAGCCATAATGCACAACTCGCAACCTTCACACCTGGAGTCCCATGCCGCTACCAGTCGCCGCGCAATGTTGGAGAACAGCTTGGATAGCGCCAGCGGCGAGTCCGCCGAGATGACCCGGAACGCCGACCTGCGCTGGGACGGGGGACGGGGGCCCGAGGGGGAAAGACCACGAACCACGAACAACGAGTGAAGCTGCTGCCAAGGAAAGAGTGCACAGGGGCCGGGGGCGGGGGCGGGGCGGTTATTTCCTAATTAGGTTGATTTTCGTGAGGTTGGTGGCGGCATGGTTACAGCGCGCGATTTAGCGCCCGGTCGCAAGGGTTCAATAAAGGGGAGACTTAGGGTTCAAAGAGATTGGAGGCAATGGCGGCTGCCCGGACGAAAGGCAGCTGCTAGGGGGGAATACCACTACCACGCGAGACATGAAGAGACGGACGTGGCGGCTTGCGTGGCGGCATGAAAGCCGCGAAGGCACTTTCTTAGGAATAGGAAGACCTAGCACGAACTTCCCCCCTCCCCTCTTCACCCCCCCAGCCGCCGGTCCGTTTCCGTCTTACCCTCTCCACCCCACGCACCTCATCTCCACACACCTCGCCACTCCAACCCCCACCGTACCGTGCCCAGTCCCCTCCCCCCCCCAGCCTGAAATCAACAATAAATCCGCTCAACAGCCCCAGTGGCCCTCATGCACACCATCTGTTGCCTCGGTTTACGTACTTACGTGCACCGGGGTGTTTCGCTTCTTGCCTTTCTCACCTGCGCCTCCCACCACCACAGCCTCATCCAGTCCGTCCCAATAGCCCCGTCCTCTAAATTCCCCCCTCCCCCAACAAGCAAACCCCGAAAGTCATCCAGCTCCCTACATCCCCAGTACTGTATATACAAACACAAACACAAACACAAACACATACATACATGCATACATACATACATGCACATACACATACACATACACATACATACATACATGCATACATACATGCATACATACATGCATACATACATGCATACATACATGCATACATACATACATGCATACATACATGCATACATACATGCATGCATACATACATACATACATACATGGCCAGGGCGGCCCACCTGCTCATGCGGACCAGCTCCGAGTCACGGACACACAGTGCGGTGGTGTCGTGGTAGCCGCCCGTGATGGCCCACACGGCCCCCACCGCCTCACCACGACCCACCTGCGGTGAAGGTGGAGGTGGAGGTGGAGGTGGAGGGGGGAGGGGGGGAGGGGGGAAGGAGGGGAGGGGGGGAGGGGGGGAGGGGGGAAGGGGGGGAGGAGGGGAAAGATGAACCACGAACGAATGAAGCTGCTGCCAGGGCAAGAGTGTACCAGACGTAGAACTGACTGGGGAAGGGGGAAAGACGAACCACGTGAACGAGTGAAGCCGCTGCCAAGGAAAGAGTGTACCAGAAGTGGGGGAGGAGGGGGAGGGCGGACGAGGTAAAGGACGTGGAGGAGGGAGGTCAAGAGGTCAAGCGCGCGAGGTGCACGGCAACCAGGCAAAAGAGGAAAGGCAGGCAGGAAGGCAGGGAGGCAGGGAAGGGTATAAACGACGTGAGGGACGAGGCGGCGCAAATGGTGTACTCTCCCCAACCATCCCCCTGTGGAAAGGTCTTCCCCAAACACACGATCGCTAGGACCCGCACCTCCTCCTCCAGGTGCAGCTGCCGGGCGTGTGTGACTGGGTGCATGGTTTCATGCAGCAGCCTCAACCGCCCCGAGATGACCACGTACAAGCACTCCGCAAAGTCACCTGGCGCCCGGGGAGGAGGGAGAGGGGGAGATGGAGAAGATACCGGGGCAAGGGGAGAGGGGGAAAAGACGAACCATGTGAACGAGTGAAGCTGCTGCCAAGGAAAAAGTGCTGCGGCGGAAGCAGAACTGACCAGGGAGAGGGGGAGCGGAAGCGTCTGAAGCTATGTGTCAAACGAGGGAGGGACTTCGCCGAGGAGAATCTAGACGCGGATCTGGAGCTGCCGTGACCGGCCACCCCGTTGTGACGGTTACGCTACGTGTCAAATAACGGCACTGGTCCCCACCCGCCCATCCCCCCGCCCGGCCCCAACCGTATATACACCCCCACCCTACTCTCTCCCCCCCCTTCCCTACCCGCTTACCCATCCACTACCACCCGCCCACAGCCACCGCCATACTACCAGCCCAGCCTCTACTACCACTGTTTCCACCCCCCCCCCCCCCCCCCCCAAAAAT